GGAGGGAGGGAGAGAGAGAGAGGTTCTTGCTTTTCCATTTTGTAAGTTTTTTAATCTCTCTGTAAACTTTATTCTTCTAGATATATTGGTTTGTGGTCGGTCTGGTGATTTGAGGGGAAGAGGCTCGGGATATTTGAAATGTTTGGAGAATAGGGAGGTAGGAAATGCACATAAGCTTATTACGTAAGAGAATTGCAGAAAAGGAACTATTTGGTCAATTCTAGCAGGTTTAGGCCTATTGGTGACGGCGGTGTTGCATTTTTAAACCATGTTGGTGGAAATTTTAATCTTGACAGTTGAGTAGTCAATAAGGAAACATTTATTAATCGTATTCATAGGACTACAAGCTCGGATAACAATTCATTTTCCCTATCCGACTAGCCTGTGAAACCTAGAATTGTTGATGGTCAGTCAAGTGATTCGAGGCAAAGAGGTTTGGGATATTTGAATCTTTTGGAGAAAAGGATTGGAGGAAGAGCATATAAGCTTTCTAGGCAACTAAAAATACTTAAAAGGATAGTCTCGATCCTATTCCTATGTTGGCTCAGATTGAGCAACAACTTGATGATGAAACAATTGAATCAACAAAACAATACTTGAGGAACCTATACAATGCCAGAAAGGAAATACGAGTTTTTTAGCCTTTAGAACAGACTAGATGAGAGATCGCATTTTACCAAACTGACTCACTTGAACTGCCAGTAAGTTCCAATTATAATGTTTGGTTGCAATAAGAACAGGTCTTGGAAGCTTCTTATAGGAAAATACCTGCCTTTTAACATCGGAATTGGTTGAAGTTTTATTACTTGAAAGGTGTCAAAACATATATTGCATGATGCTTTTTCCTGTTGAGGATTGCGTCTGCAAAATTTGTTCGATGAAGAAGGGATTGTGTAGAGAATGCATGTGTCTTGTGTGTTTGAACTTTGACTATGCCAATAATACTTGCAGTTGGGTAGGCAGTGATGCATGCTTGCATGGGTGTCATGTTGTTTGTGGTATTCATCAAAATCTTATAAAGCCAGGTCCAAGTCTCAAAGGCCCTTCAAGGACAATTGAGATGCAGTTTTACTGTCTAGGACGTAGTCATGCCTAAAAAATGTTTGGCTTCTTTAAGGACGTGGTCATGTCTTGGGCGAAGGAATGGGGTGAGGAAACCCTAATGAAAGGGCTTGATTATGCAAGACATCAGCCTTTGAGATCTTCACTCCCTTGGAAGATCTTCCGAACATAATCAAGCTCTTTCATCAATAAACAGGCAGTTTCCATTAATAAACAGGCAGTAACAAAACTGCTTGCTTGAAGTTTCTTGATTTCTCTCCTCCTCAATCTTATATATAACATGTTTACATATGTCTTACATTGTGATGTCTAGGAAATCCAAACTTTTATTCAACAGATTGAGAGAAAAATATCCTTATTCCTATTTTAGCAGGTTTTGAATAAGGGAAAAGCTTTGTACTAGCTTAGAAGGATCAATCATGTCTAACATTGAATTTGACAAAGCAGTGAAATTCTCACCATATGAGGTGCTCATCTGTTTTCTACTTAATCCGCAAAAATGCTACAATTATATATAGCAGGAGTGTAGTCCATGCTAGTAGGAGTGTATTGTCTTGGTGCCCTTACTACTTACTAGTAGTCGGAGTGCTATGTTTGTAGTTTCGTGTTCTTCGATTTTGTATTGATATAGGTTGATTTGTGTAGTTCGATGTAGAATTATATGGTTGTAGTACTAATCTATTACTGTTTATTGTTTTGCTTACTTCCTGTTATCTGCTGCACTTAATGACTTTCATTTCTTCCTTGCTTGAGTTCGGTACTTGCATCGCAATGGAAGAATTCTCCAAGTTGTTGAAAAAAAACTCAGGGATGATTACATCAAAGACGAAGAAAAGACATTGTTGTTGCAGCCATGCGCCATTGTTATGAATGGCTTAAAACACAAACTATATCAATGTCTCAGTTTCACCATTTACATCAAGCTTGTTTAGAGATTATTATTTTTATTTTATTCAAGTATTTTTTCATATTTATATCAACCTTCTTTTACGTTTATATTTATCAAATCGATTTTGAATAAAATATTTATTTTAATTCAATGCAAAAATATACAAAACCAAACCACCTATACAAGGACCAAGTAATCCTTTATAGCAAAATAAAATATTTACAAACAAATTTAAATATTTGAATAATAACACCATGTCATCCTTTTTTTAAAAAAAAAGGCTTAAGTCATCTGCAGTCACTCAAAGTTGTCCGCATAATTCATTTAGACACTTCAACTAATCTTTGTGCCAATTGAACACTTTATTTGTTCAAAAGTCATTCCTATTAGACACAAAATGCTGACATGGCAAAAAACGTATAATTCACTTTCTTTGAGTGCGTTAATTTATTAAAAATAATATTTTCCTTTTTTTTTCTTAATTTATACCCCTAAATTAATTTTAAAAAAATTAATAACAAAAAAAAGGGCAGTCGTTTTCTTCCCTCTTTCTATCATATTATTCTTTCACCATTTTATCTCTTTTTTTTTACATAGGCACACACTCCACACTCCCTCCACCTCTCTTTCTCTCACCCTCATTGTTCTTTCATGTTTTCCTCTTTTTTCTTATATCGATTTACGTCTCAAATATCTCGAAGAAGTTTCATTTACAATGATGAAAAAAATATGAATAGATTTTTTGGGCAAAAGTCTGTTGATTTTTTTTCAATTCTAATAAATAGTTTCTAATATATAAAAGTTGGAGGCAACGAGTGAAATTTTTTAATGCTATTGAAATGAAAGAGAATGCGTATTTAGCTTGAATAGACAACAAAGGTGTGTCATTGTAGTGTTGATACCAATGGAAGAGAAGAAAGAGATGGAGCGACGCCGGCTCCATGGAAAATCAGAAATGGGTATTTCTGAAGGAGGAGGAGGAAAGTGGGGAGGGGGAGACCTTAATTAAAAATAGATTAATTTTTAATTTTTTAAAATACTTTATGAATTAATTAAATAGAGGTTTTTAAAAAAATAAATGTAATGCCACGTGTCATCATATTATTGGTAAAACTATTATCAGTTCGTGTTTGAGATACACGCGTTTTTATTTTTCAATTGATTGTCAGTTTGTGTCAAATAGATATAAATTTTTTAAAGTTTAAGTGTTCAATAGGTACATTCCTAAGTTGAGTGTTTGAGTGAAATATGAGGACAACTCTAAGTGGCTGTGAATGACTTAGGCCAAAAAAATTGTCTTTCTCGTAGCGTTTCAGTGAAGCTCCATAGTAATGGCTATGTTTTCAATTACTTGTGCTGAAAAAAGTGATTATTTGTGAATTTTCCAAAGAGGAGTATCAAAACGCCAACATATTTAGCATTTGTGACAAAACTCTGCCTTTTCAGATGTCTATGAAATATACCAATCTAAGAAAAACATAGATTTTCATTCAAAGGAAATACAATTTATATACACAATGGAAGAAGCTTGTTAGTTGTATCTGATAAAATTGATTAACGAGTCTTTGCAGACATGGATCGGGAAAATTTTAGACAAACTAATCTTACCTTGGTAAGACACTAAACAGTAGTTGTGCCATCAAAAGATGTCGTTGAGGCACTCATCCTAACACCAACTATATGGAACTCCATAGATCGGTAGAAGCTATAGATTGAGAGGAACCTATACTGAGCAAATGTTGTTTCAAGTATCCTCTCATTCCAAATTAGTAACTTCCTGTATGGGGGGGTATGAAGGGAACAATTTCCTGTTCAACCTGTCTCTATCAGATGATTGAGATACCAAAACTCGATATCTTCTAGCAGAAGCAAATGCTCCACAACTATATCCCACATTTATTGCTATTGTTACCTTAAAGCAGGAAGTAACTTCAGCAATTCCTGACAATAGTTTCTCTCTGACTCCCTCTTTATTCTTTTATACTGATGGATCTCAGTTAGAGTGTGGTTGAATTTCACATTAACAATCTTGCTCTAGAGCTGACTTCTAAAGAATGATAGTAAGAGAAGTTTCAGCAGTGACTCGGAGGGACTTTGGCATTTTGCTGTTTCCGTACAGGTATTACTAAGTTGAAGAGGCAATCATAATTCAATTTTTTCTTCTTAACAACAACCACAAGATTAACCCAGTGTGGCAAAAATGAGAAATGGATTTCATCACATGGACAAGGGACAATTGTGAGAAAAGAATTAAGTTCTACCACATCGGCGCCTAGTGCGGTGCAAGATAGGAAAATGTTCTTGCATCTTAACGGATGGATAAGGGTAAAGAACCTAGTCCAAGAGAGTCAGACATAATAGATAGTTTGAATATATGCTCGTTGAAAGGGAATTCAATAGAATTAATGAATGCTCGGGAAGGGGCAGAGCTAACATTGCTGCTTACAGAAAAATAGGTGGACAGTAGAAAAACATAAATATATTAGCAGCACATGTTTCTAAATTATTGTATAGATAAGGATAGGAACAGAGTAGGAACCACTGTAGAACGAAGACTCCGGACAAAGTTGTTGAAGTAAAGCTTATTGGTGATACAATTATCTTGTCAAGACTAGTGTAGGAAAGGAGACAACCAGCATAATCAGTGCCTATAATTCGATGTAGCTGGACAACCAAGCATGTTGGTACATGACCGTTTAAAGCCTTGAAAGTAGTGGATTAACCTTGATAAGCAAACAATTAGATGGATTCTAGAGTTTCACAACTGTTATGAGTTGTTTTTAACTGAATAGTTCACAACTATCGATATAATGCCGGAATATGGATAAGCACCAAAGCTAACAAGATGAAACATCAAATCCTTAAGAATTTCTGAAATAGATTCCCGATGTGACAACTGATTAGAATGTCTGTTACTAATGCTCTTCATAAGGGCATGTGCTCTTCATCAATAAGTTAACTCGTTGGGGAAGAAGATGAATGAAAGAAAGAAAGAAGGAGATAGAGAGAAAAATCGTGTGTAGCTCAAAGCAAAAGGGCCGCTTAGGAAAAGTAGAACTCCAGATCAGCAAAAGAGTAATTCAACTAAAGAGGTTTACCTCAACGAGCAACTTTACAGCAATAACAAAAGGAGCATTAAAATATGAAAGAAATAAAATTTATCGCAACAGAGATTTCCATATTAAACACAGCAACGATTTATCAAAACTCTGGATGAGACAGTCTGGAATGAGCAAGAGCACTACCTATGTTGACTAGAGACTATTAACAACGCATTCTTATTATAAAGAAGCCATGTTTAACAACCAAAAGTTGTATGAAATGAGGAAGAAAACCCCACTTCATGAGAAGAGACTGAAATTGCAGCTTTTGTAGTTAAACATCCTAACTCATTTTGCCAAGCATCTGAAATGAACAAATGTGCGCTTGTGCAGCTAAAAGAAAAGTAATATAATCATTGAAAATAATGAACACAGTTGGCTGCTGAAGTATATGCTTCATGTATGTGTACCTTATGCCGCATGTTCTGAGGTTTGAAGGTGGTGTTCTTCAATCAGATTTTGAACCCTCTGAATAAATTCTCATATATTACTAGAAAGCAGAAGATATACTCAAGTTAATTTAGGGAAAGCCATATATTTTTACCTTTAACGGAACTTCCAACTTCTTCCAGCTTCTGTAATAATGCAGCATCTCCAGAATGAGATAATGAATCATGCTGATGGGTCTCGATGGGGACATCTGCCAATCACAAAATAGTATATAGAAGCTGAAACTTAAGGGAGGGAGTCTTTGCTGATAATGATGATATTTGCTATTGAAAATGCATAAAAGAGAAGAGGAATATCACGAATACAAAAGTCGTGATCTAGTGACAACATACCAAAGTAGTACAGGAAAGACCAATTTGCAAATTCAAAGTGTCATCAACAGCTGAAGCTTGTCTAGAGAATGCTTTACTTCTGAGATTTGATAGTTGCGTTAGAACAACCTAGAAAATGTACATAGATTCACAAGTCAACATATCTTAGATTCATGACATGATATTTAAACCAATAGTAAGATTACTTTAAGAGGAATTATTAGTATCTCTCTAAGAGAAAAAGATCTTAACAATAAGTTAATAACTAAGGTAAAACATACCTTCCTGAAATCAAGAGCATCCGCTATTCCTTGGATTTGGAGATCATCACTCGGAGATCTTCTCACACCAACATTTTCAATTCTTATCGAATAGACCCCACAATGGGACTGTAGGTACCCTGACAATTACATCAGTTCAGAAGTCTCAAATGTCTATATAGTACCAAGCCTAACAACTGAAATGAATCATAGAAGTAGCCTTCTGCAAGTGTCCGTTCTCTGGCTTTGCAAATTTTTGATATAGTAATCCACAAGAAGTCATCTTAAAAGAAATGCCTTTGAGCAGTGGTGTTTTCCATGTACCCGATGAAGTGTTGGTTGAACAAATCATGTCAAAAGATTATTGTGAAACTTAAATCAAAAGAGGATCTGACCTACCATTCTTGTTTGTACTCGATTTCCCTTATTTCTTCTCCTTTTTTTTGAAAAGAGAAGCATTCTATTTTTGTCAGATACTTGTACTTTTGATCCTTAATTTCTTATCACCCACTTAAGAGATTTAAGAGAAAGATTATATATTTAATACAAAAAATATTGAATGTCACAACTAAAAGAATGTTGTAAAGGTTTTACTTTTTGCAGTTCTCATTGTAGGTGGAGTTAAAAACTCCATCCAGATAAAATATGAACTGGCAGGATTAAAATTCTCTTTTATCGTCCCAATCAAGTTTACAAATAATCACGTTTACCTTGTTCAACTGCAATGTCAGCAACTGATGGCAATAAAACATATTTCTCCTCCTTCAAATCCCCAAAACATGGAAATGGAACTAGTCTTGTTACCTAGAGTATAAAATCAAACTCTAAGAAAAGGCTTGATAACGTGTTCAAAACATCATTATAAGCAGTTCAAGCAAATGTCACATTTTTGCAACATAATTTTATCAAATCAACCGAGTTTTATTGCTTTTTCCCATACTACCAATAATATTAGTTAATTTTAGAGTTCCAAAACATCAGTAAATTTTGGGGGGAAAAGAAGAATACAATGGCGTTTGGAGTGAGATAAAGTTTTCTGGAGCGGATGTCCCGGCGTAAAATGTATCTCCGAATGGGCAAATAAATCAACATGATTAGCCTTTTTCCCAAGCTAATAATAGATACAGTGAATACAATACCCATCGAACTGTTTGATACTTTACGAAATTATCTTCTCTCTCCTCAAACGATGCCGTATAGATTACTGGTTCTTCTTCATGTTCGACCAACAAACCCCTCTCTAACCGCTCAATTTCTCCATCGTTCAATTCCATATATGAGGATTCAATTCAACCAAATTAAGAAAAACAGAGCAAAAGATAAAAGATAAATATTGGTAGACATGAAAAGAAGCGGATTTTAATTAGTGTTACCGCTAAATGATGATCGATGGGACGAGTTCCTTTTTTCTAATTACAAATTTATTATCAATTGCTTTATTAGCTAGCGTTTGGTCATAGATTTCTAAATATTCTTGGCAAATATTATTTGAATGAAAATCTTGGCCCATGTATTTAGCCATATTATTTGAGAAATATATTTCACATTTTTAGAAAAATATGATTTATACCTTAAGTTTTTAAAATATCAAAACTAACTATAAGTTTGAATTACAAGTCAATTGGATCTTTGTTACAACAATAATAAATAGTGTCTATCACACTAGAGCATTGTGGTAATTTGGAGTGAGTACAACAAGCATCATTTCATACATCGTAAAGTATACAAAACACATAACTTTGTTATCTTGAACCGATTGTTCATCATTTTCATCAAAAAAATCATATCATCATTTAACATTCACGGAGTATTTCATCATTACTTTGGAATTAACGTAAAAAATTATGTAATACAACGTAAGCAGAAACTATACAGGGTGTTTTGTAAATGATCAAACTTTGAGGTAAAATTTCAATTTTTAAAAGATCTCAAATAATGAGATTTGATCCAAATACTAGAAAAAATTAGTATTTGGAAATTTGAAATATTTGCAAAAAATATTTATTAAATAATGACAATGTGTATGAACAAAACACTATTTATCAAGTTTTTCTCCAAATATCATTTGAAAAATATATGGTCAAACGGGCCCTTAGAATTGATAATACAACAGTCGGATAACAAAAAGAGATAATGACTCATAAACTATAGTACATGAGAGAAGTGACTACTTTTTAATTTGTCTAAATTATTACTATTTATATTTTAAAAAAATACATTTTGAGATTGACTATATCATAGTGTTCTATTTACAAATTATTTGTTGAACATTTTTTTAATTTTATTTTCATTTTTTTAAAAATAAAATCTTATTATGATATCGCTTGCGTTCTTTATATTTTTCAGAAATTGTTTTCTTCTTAATAGTAGTGTCTATATTTTCATTCTTCTTGATGCTTTGCAATTCATGTGTTTATGTCTGAAATAAAATTTATAATGATAGTTTTAGTTTACATGAATAATTTATTGGTTTGATAGTTTTGATAATAATAAAGAGAAAAGACATAAAGTGACATCTGAAGTTGTCCTGAATTTTCAAAAAGACAATCTAACTATGCAAATATCCTATTACCCCCCTAAACTATTCCGAACATATATTATTACATCATTTTCGGATCAATTTCAGATTTTAAATGGCAAGTGTAATCACACACCAATCATTATGTGACACGTGTTAATTCAATTTGAATTTTTTTTTTCATTTTAAGTTTTTCTTTATTTCTTTCTTTTTTAATATTTTTATTTTAATTCCATTTTAATTTTTAATTCATCTTCAACCCCAACTTTCAAGCTCCCTCCATTTTCTTTCGTTATTTCTTCTTCTTCTCATCCTCACCTAATCCAACACCCATATCAAGTTAAGCCCCTCCATTTTCTTTCTCTTTGCTTCTTCTTATTTGGTCAAATTTCTTACTTTCCAAAATTATACTATTTTCTAGACTTTGTTGAGAGGGTCATTTATATTGAAATGCCAAGAGGGTCATTCATTTTCAAATTCAAAGAAGGCCATTATATTCAAACGCCAAACTGCCGAGAGGGCCATTCATATTAAATTGCCGAGAGGGCCATCATATTCAAAAGTCAAGAGGCCATCATATTCAAACGCCGAGAGGGCCATTCATATTCAAACTACCGAGAGGTCCATCATATTCAAACGCCGAGAGGGACATTCATATTCAAATGCCAAGAAGGCCATTGTATTCAAACGCAGAGAGAGGGCCATTCATATTCAAACTACCAAGAGGACCATTCATATTCAAACTACCGAGAAGGCCATCATATTCAAACGTCGAGAGGTCCATTCATAGTCAAACTGCCAAGAGGTCCATCATATTCAAACTGCCGAGAAGGCCATTCATATTAAATTGCCGAGAAGTCCATTCATATTAAATTGCCGAGAGGGCCATCATATTCAAAAGCCGAGAGGGCCATCATATTCACACGCCGAAAGGGTCATTCATATTCAAATTGTCGATAGGGCCATTCATATTCAAATGCAAAGAAGGCCATTGTATTCAAACGCCAAGAGGGCCATCATATTCAACCATCAAGAAACATTAGTCTATTTCTCACCACTACTATACTAAAAGAAGAGTACAGTGAACAATCATGTTGCAAATATGAGATACATGTTCTATTTGCATTATGTCAAACTAATAGAAATTAATGTAAAATATTCAAGGAGAACAATTAAGTTCCAACATGGTGCGGACAACATCAAAAGGGATGCGAGACAACGTTGAATTTTCTTTTTTCTTCGCAGCGAACTGGAACATAGTCTAAAGAGGAGTGTCAAACTCTTAGGACGCGAGCTGAGGAGCAACTTCCACCGCAATCAAACCACACCCCTATCAAAAGGCGTGTGGATTTTTCTTTTAGTTCATCGATTTCAATTTCGCATCCACCAAAGGCAAATTTCTAATCTGAGTGACAGCGCACCACGAACTTTGGAAATTATGTCCATGTAAGTTCTTACTTATGGATGTGAAGAGCTCCACATTCATGGCTAGGAGGTTGCAAGCCTATTTTCCTCACTCGTTTTATTTTTCACTCCTCCAAAACCAAAGGTTATCTTGCATAATAGATTTCCTTTTCAATCAACGAGTCGAACTACAAACAACCTGATTCCTTAGGTTTAAGGATATGTAGGCGGGTTCAATATTGAAAACTTGGTTGTATTCCAACATACTTTCTTAAATCTTATTCCCGAGCATTCCGTTCTCTTCATAATTCGATATTGGGATAGCTTTTGAAGTCTTTCATAATCGTGCGTTAAATCAACCTTATCGAACTACAAGTGGCCTGAATTCTCATATAGCCTGAGATATGTAGGAAACTCGTTTCAAGGGTTCGACCATAATTCCTAAACCCTTTGCCAAATCCTTTCCTAAAGATGAATATGTGGTCGGTCAAATTGGCTTGGTCAACTTCATTTTCCTCGAATTTCTTGCATCAATCCAAGTAAAATGAGGGACAGTTGTTGACACCCAATTTTGACCCTCTCCGATAGAATTTAATTCATGAGCTTCTTAAATTTTTCAAGCAATTTAAAATAATTAGTTTTATAAATTTTAAGAAATATATATATATATATATATATATATATATATATATATATATATATATATAAAGTTTGCGTTATTTTTGAATAGTTTTGTCATTTTTTATAACTTTTAGATAATATATATATTTTACATAATTATGTATATAATTAATATATTTTATGATTATTCAAAAAAAACTATCTCAAAAATATTTTATTTTTAGTAAGTATCCTATTAAACTAGTTTAGTTTAAATTATGTTTTTTATATCACTAGTTTACAATTAAAATTATTTTTTTTAAAATTAGGAAACTCGTTAATTAATTAATATTAATACGTCTTATTTAAGATTTAACCGAATTTTGCAAATTAAATATGATTTGGCTAAATTATTAATTCACTAATTATATCTCACTTTAAATCCACTAAAAGATTTTAGCTTTGGGCCTTTTCTATAATCTGCACCAGCCCATATCCAATTTCTTATCTTATAATAAAAGAGGCCCATCAATATTGCTACAACAACAATTTCCAGCTCATACTAATTCTTCATTTATTCCAGGCCCATTTTTATTTTCAGACGCCCCAGGCCCAAACAATTTCAGCAGCCCACTTCTCATTCCCAACCCAGCAGAAATACCCGACCCGATCCCACATGTTTCTTCTTCACGTTGAAAACCCAGAGAATTGGGGAAGAAAGCCAACGTCTTCTTCCCCATAAATCAAATCCGAAAATTGTGCCAACAGTACCATCCCATCACCATCGTCGTAATTTCCAGCGAGAAGTGGCATCCAACAGTACCCTTTGTATGTCTTCTTCTTCTTTTCAGAGTAAAGATACAACTCCCCCACGCCTCTTAGCTATTGCCTCGAAAAAGAGCATTTTGAAATTTGAATTCATCCTTAATCTACCGGATTTCCCCTCTAACTGGTTTTAGTTCTTTTCCTATAAATATCAGTCGTATATCGTAGCCTGAATATCCTCTATCGATTGCTAGCAGTCCCCTTTATCTGTATTTCCTTGTCTTTCTTTGTTGGCTAAGCATTTTGTTCCTCCATATTCTCTCGATTTCGTTTTGTGTTTCCATTTTAGTATGAATATGTGCAGCGTTATGATTTTTCTCCCATGAGTTAACATGACAAGGGTTGTACCTGGTATTCATTATCATATGAACTCGAGTTCTTGAGCGGCAAAGATGTCAGTTTTTTTTCCCTGTTTTTGCTTTTCTATTTCCTTTGCTCCTTCTTTAAAGTTCTCTTGCGATTTCTTAATGTATTGTCCCTTTGGAATCATTTGATTTCCTTGCTTTAGAATCATCTCGTTAATGTTGTTTTTTTTGTGTGCATTTAAAGCATTAAGCATGATTCTGATGGAAGTCGTTTTAGCATTATATATTGGTCGTTATGTGCGTTGATTCGAGTTCATATCTATGAAGTTAACAAATGCGCTGTTTGGTGTTGTTTGTCGTTCAACATTTGTTTCTCTAAATCTCTTGCGTTGTTGAGCTTGTTATTCAAACTTATAAAAATTGATTAGGAAGTTTGTGTAATTTGTTTCAATAAGTCCAAGGCACTATTTTATTGTTTTCTTTTCTTAAGCTTAGGATTATATATTTGTTTCATTTTGATAGCTTTTATTCTTTTGACTACTACAGCTTAAAGAAAATCATGACCGTCCTTGTTTAAAGCATGTTTTAGTTACAAATAATTTATGTGTTGTTGCTACCTTTTGCATAATGTAATCACTGCTTTAAATCTTGGTTCTTTTGTGTCCATTGCTATTTTGAATTCTTTGTAATGCATGGAGTATGTTTGATCAATAATGCATGGTGTTTGTTTTGCATTTACTAAGCAGTAGTGGTATGCATATGACGGATGCATTAGTATGTGTCTATGCATTTCGTGTCACTGCCATTGCTCTA